TTATCGCTTTAGCTGCTTGCTCAAGTACCACCTGAGGGCGCATGCAAAATTTCTAATTTCAATCTTTGACCATCTTCAACACTTTCTACGCGAAATTAATTTCAGTTAAGTAGTGAAATAAATTGTTCAACTCCAAATTAATAAAATTTAATCAAAACCCAACGACAATTCGAATCAATTTCTCTTTTTTTTTTTTCCTTTTCTGCCAAACTACTAGCAGAATTTTAATAAAACTCTTCATAATAATAAATAATATATAAAGGAACAAAACTGTAAAAAGATTTTTACAATCGGAAGCACGGTTTAGGAATAATCAGCAAAAATCGCTGGTGACTTCAACGGGCGAAATTTCCAACTCATTTTAATCGAATTAGTTGTGCATCAATTTAAATCGATTAGCAGAGATTAGCAGCAATTTGTCGCGTCGCCGGCTTTAGAGTTTGACTGATGGCCGCCGGATGAAAACGGAATTAACGTCATGGCCGACGTCATCGTCTGATCCATCATGGTAGCCAAGTTGCGACCTCAACGTAATCCCATTCTTTGACTACAACGTCGTACGCAACATTTAAAAGCGTTTTAAATCATTTCGCCTCGTTTAAATCCGAACAAATCCATTTTAGATGCGGCACAATGCTGGAGATGCTGAATCGTGAATCAAACTTATGAATGAGCGCAAATAAAAAGGAAATGAGAGGAAGTCGAATGTGACACGGACAAGCAGCAGCCTCAAAGGCCTGCGGATGATTGATCGCTTCGTCAATTATCGTCGCGTGTGAAGCGCAAGGCGTTAACAATTGATAAACAAACGCCCAAAATGTCATAAAGGAAGAAGTGAACAATAGAAAGTTGAAATATTGCAAGAAATTTAAGAAATTTTGAATATTTTTTGGTTTTTGGTAATTATTCATAAACTAATTGATGGATTGTAATGAAATTTAAAATAGTTATAGAGAATTAGTTGAGAAGTAAAAATTTGAAAGAAATTTTAAAATTAATGTAACAGTTTAAAAGTTATTAACAAAAAACTTATGATTTCTCCAGAAAATTAAGAAATTTTGGATTATTGTTAGTTTTTTGTTAATTATTCATAAAGTAATTAATGGATTGCAACAAAATTACTAACAACGATAAAGGATTAATTGAGAAGTATAAATTTGAAAGAAATTTCAAAATCAAAACAGCGTTTTTAAAGTTATTAAGAAAAAACTAATAATTTCACCACAACATTAAGAAATTTTGAAAATTATTGGTTTTTTGTTAATTATTCATAAAGTAAACAATCAATTGTTACCAAATTTTTAACATCTACAAAGGATTAGTTAAGAAATATTAATTTGAAAGAAATTTCAATATCAAAGCAGTTTTTCAAAAGTTATAATCAAAAAACTTTGGAGACTTCAACGCGCAAAATCCCCAAACCTATTTTCCTCGATTATAACTCTGGCAAAACAGCAAGAAAACAATAAAACCCACATTTTTCATCATGTGGAACATTTAACATTTGCCTCTTCGTGCAAAGATACAATTCCTCCTCGCTGAATCCTGATTCCCCAGCATGTTCGCTTCGTGCTTTATTTCTGCGCTTTCTACCGTCGACTTCGGCGAGTATTGGAATCGGTATCGGTTCCGCTCGCGTCGGCGTGGGTGTCCGCGCTGCTCGTATTCATATTACACGCGCCCGCGCCGAGATGTGATCTAATTGCCGGTCGACACGAGACCATTCGATGCGCAGGAGTCAGGAGCGCGCCGCACTCCGACAAGGAAAACAGTGGAAACGTGCGGCGGACAAAACGTGTCCGGCGTACAAGACGCATAAATATCGCACGACTTCGACTCTACACCACCACGAGAGGTGAGAAACCGAAAGCTCCGAAAGATATTCGTAGATAAGCGGAGCAATCAATTAAATTAACTCGGCAACATTAAATCACTCAATAGGAAAAAATACAAGCGAGTAAAATCAAGAAAAACATCTGCTTTTGATTATTTCATTGATTTTTGGTGATTTTTATCGAAATTTTGGCGAATTGGCTTGTATTGATGCATTTTCAACACAATTCAGAGATTATTGCAGAGCTTTGTATTATTTGTGTGCATTATCAGTTGAGATCTTATTCAGAAAACCCATAAATACTTCAAAATTCAATCGCATTGTAAGACTTTCCGCAAAACCACTGAATTTTCATACCTGCTGTAAAGCTCAACACAAAATTTTGCGAGAATATGATTACATAATTTATGCAAAATAAATTTTTACCCTTTAGTGTGGCTTTTGAGGTTATGATCGTAAATCATGACCTGTCACACGCAGCCGAGGCGAATTCAATGCGCACAAGTCGTAATTATGTCGATTGTTGGCTGAACGTTTTACGACATCTGCGAAAATATGCGCGTATACAAACAGTAGTTCTAGAATTTCACAGTGCGGTCAAAATTGCGATGTTATCAGTTGTGTCAATTGTGAGCTGACCACAGCAAACGCGGTTATTGTCCCCGATGAAATATTTACGATGTGGCTCATGTTGAACTGCGTGGACGTCTTAACTTTTCACCATTTTTCAGTTCAGTTGAAGCGCATTGTTGGGAAATGAAATAAAAAACGGAAATGAAAAATAGGCGATTAAGTTGAAGCTGCTCGTTTTTTTCGCTCGCTTAATTTCGATCGCTTACTCTCCGGCGCTGGATTTGGATAAATGTGGGTCATTAATAAACCCCTTTCGGGCGCGCAGAGATTCCGGCCCGAGATTAAAACGTTTTTTTGAGCCCTTCTTCGGATTCTTCTTCTTCGTCTGCTGGTGGCGACGACATAATGGACGCGCGCGGACGCCCCGCGGCGAACGAAAACGACACGTGAATGTGCGCCCATATTCACCAGACGCATATAACCGTCTTCTGCCCAGATGGGAACCAAGAGCAAATGTTATATTTTTGAGTGACTGCTAAAAAAGTGCTTGGTATTCTTTTGAATCACTTAAGAATTGTCACCAAAACATAATGTTAAATTTCAGTCGGGCATTGAAGTCTCCATGATTTATTTTTTTAAATTTGCAATAACTTTTGTAATAATTATTCAATTTTAATTTTGTAAACGACAATCAATAGCTAAATAAATGTACTTTTATATTACCAATTAAAAATTGTTTCAACTTTACTGAAAATATTGTTAATTTGACGTCAAAATTACATTTTGTTGTTTTTCGCCTCGAACTAATTGAAGTCTTCCTGATTAATTTTTTAAATTTGTTATAACTTTTGTAATAATTATTCAATTTTAATTTTGTAAACGACAATCAATAGTTAAATAAATGTACTTTCATGTTAGCTATTTAAAATTGTTTCAACTTTACTGAAAATATTGTTAATTTGACGTCAAAATTACATTTTGTTGTTTTTGCCTCTAACTAATTGAAGTCTCCCTGATTAATTTTTTAAATTTGTTATAACTTTTGTAATAATTTATCAATTTTAATTTTGTAAACGACAATCAATAGCAAAATAATTGTACTTTTATATCAACTATTAAAATTTGTTTAAAACTAACTGCAAATATTGTTAATTTGGCGACAAAGTTGAATTTTCTTGCTTTTTTGCCTGTTAAAAATTAAAGTCTCCCTGATTAATTTTTTAAATTTGCAATATCTTTTACAATAATTACGCAAAATTAATCTTGTAAACGACAATCAATAGTTTAATAACTGAGCTTTTACATATACTATTAAAAATTGTTAAAAACTGACTGCAAATATTGTTAAAATTACGTTAAAGTAAATTTTTGTTACTTTTCACCCACAAATTTACACTTTTCTCGCTCGTGTGTAATTTACAAACCGTGGGAACGTCTATTATCCTCCACCAAACTTTTTGTCATCACATCTTCTGATGTGTCTGGTTGCATCACTCTGATATTCCCGCATTGTGTCGCCGCGTTATGCTGTTATTCAGCTAAGTAAGTAAGTGAAATATTTTCGTTATTCTGTGCTTCGGTGATTCGCCGGCGTGATTTCACGCCGCCGCGAAATAAAATGCCTCATTTTCATGTTGCACGTCATCTCATCGTCTCCGGCCGGCGGAGAACCGTTGATCGCCATCGTCAGCTCGTCTCTTCGGCGGTCGCGTTGATGGCATGCCACCGTCGTGCCACCATTTAGCGCTGTCATTAGCTTCGTTTGCCGCGCTCGAAGCGACCGCAACGAGCACGACGGCCACAATGAGCGCTAATCCTCTTTCGTCCTTTTTCCCGTGTCCGCGCGCTGACGACTTTAAATCTTTGTGGAAATCAAGCGACGTGATGACGCTCGGGCCATTGTGCGTGATAATGTTTAAATCCGTCGCAATTTGTGGCAATTGTTGTGTAATTTGTCAGAATTTGGAAAATTTTATGCTTCTGACAGCTTTTTTACTGGGTTACTGTCTTGTTACCCATCGGAGCATTGAAGTCTCCATAGAAAAATCATAATATCTTTTAAACTAATCGCGCGATTTTCATTTTAAAAACATAAATATAAAGTAAATTAAATTATTTATCATAAAAATGATTAAATCTTTAATTTTTAAGCTTTTATCATGTATTTTCGTAACCTCAAAGTGGAATTAAACTTATACTCAACTTGATTCTGTAGTAAAGTTGTGAATAATGAATATTATGTTTATCTATCGCAGTAAGTCACTCTCGCAGGGCGTTAGGAAAAAACGCGCCGGAATCCCGCACGTTTCGCACGGTTCGTGGCGGCTCCGCCAGCGAAATTTGTTGGCGATGGCGCGTCGTTAAGTAGTGGATTATAAGCTTGCCGTAAATTGCGCATGTCTACTGCCTGCGCGGCGGCATAAAGTGCGCTTTGCGCTCGCGTCGCGCACGCATCGCGGACGATTCAACCTGAGCATTTGTAAATACAATGACAAAATGTGCGATTGCGTCGATATAAATTCAAAACAAAAATTACAAAAACAAACACATCGCATTTTTCCGTTGTTAGAAATCAAACTAGCTTAAGACTTACCTTAGTCAAAGCGTGATTACAAGGGCTGCTGTTGCTTGCGTTGTTTTCTGCTCGTGGTAGCACGTTGTAAGAGTTTACAAAAGGCGAAGTAGTCCTTGTGTGGCCCGGCGCGTCTTCTCCTCGAGATGTCCCACGTGTCCCACGCATTCCTCCCGCGGTACAAGCACCATGCTTACTAACTCTTAACTTAGTCTTACCTATTACCGATGCACTTTGTAAATTGTAAATTTAAAATAATCGCAAGTACCTACTCGAGCATTTACACTTACAGTCTTGCAGATATTTCATAGGCACACAGCAGAAACAGAAGAAACGGGAGGACAGCGAGCTGGTGTCCACGTCTGAACTGTCCAAAGTCTTCGTGGTGTTGAACATGGCAGAAAGCGTTTTATAAGGCGCGAAAGGACTAAAAACCTGCAAATGTACAAGAAAACAACGATAAAAACAAAACAAATACACTAATTGGAAGAAGTACAACACAGACAGGTAATTTATTTCTAAATAATTCTTATCTAATTAATTTTCTGTTGTTTAAAATAAAAATTTTCATCAAAAAATTCATTTTTTGCAAATTTTTCCTTCGGAGACTTCAATGCCCGATATTTACACCTGATTCAAATTCTTGTTAAAAAAAATAGAATTCCATGCTTCATACAACAAATGTGCGCACATCGTCACATGCACACGCACGCACATCGTATAACTTTCTAATTTTCAAACGACCCGCGCGTCGTAAACGCTTAATGGCGCGCTTTAAAAAGGCCCGATTACACCGCGCAGTCATATGTCACCCGAAGAACTACTAAAAACACTCCCAACACTCCTGCCAACACTAGAATTAACAATTTAAATCAATTTACATCTTTAATAAGGAAAAACACTTAAACTAATTTAATTTATAACTTCGCCTGGCATAGCATAGCATAGCATACCTCCGCGCACATAACCTAGGTATAATTTTGAGGTTATGGTATATGTACGGTTCAAGTAATACAATGTGATGCGTTTAATGGATTTAGTTTTACAGCTGCGGTTCGCGTTGACAAGTGTGGACGAAACGGTAAAGCGTCCCAATAAAGTTTACAATCGCGTTGAATTTAGTGAAATTTATTGAATCCAGAATCTAGGATAGGTTGAATTTAGAGGCGGCTGTCGGTAGTATCTATCTGGCGGACGCTCGGACAATGCGACAATTAATTTTATTGCGTGGCATGCGTGCGCCATGAAAATGTGTTATAGTCGAGCCATACAAAGAAAGGAATAAAGTTTCGATCACAAATTACTGCGCAAAATACCAAAACGTTTTTGTTAAACTCAAAAAAATGATTTTTAGACATTATCCTTTGGAAATTTCAATGCTTTACACAATAACAAGACAGTAACCCTATTACATTTTATAACAAATAAAATTTTGATTACAAATTATTATTTTTTCAGTGCGTAAAGTACCAAAACACTTTTTAAAACAAAAAACAAATTTTTACAAATTTTCTCCTGGAGACTTCAATGCTTTTGAAAGTAACAAGACAGTAACCCGACAAAAATTGTGATAAAACTTCTTTTATATTATGTTTTAAATTAGTAATGTGTTAATAAAGTTCTCAACATATAACTTGAGCAAAAACAATCGCTAATGACCAGCGCAAATGAAAGGAAATGTCAAAAATAACAGAATTAACTAACGGTGTCCAAATCTCGAGAGAATTTTGACACGGATCATCAAAAAGTCTAAAATTATGAACGAACATCCGCGGCGTTTATAAATAAATCTATTTTAGCTAAAATACCGAAAAAAAAAACTTAAGAAACTTCGCTTTTTTAAAGCAAAAATGTTTAATGCGTCCGTTTGTGATTTACCAAAAACGGCAATTGTCATAATTTCCGACTGTAATAATTCCCGTTAGAAAGTCGCAGCTGTAAATTATTCTCGACCACAAACAAAAAAAAAGAATCCGAAATCAAAAATTCATTTCATTTTACATTCAAAGTTTCCAAATATTATTTGACATGTTAATGTTACACGCTGTTGTCACAAACATTTCTCGAATTTCCCAACCCAAGTGAATAACAAAAAGGCACTAAATTTCCAGACCGAAATTCTCTCCGTCTCATCTTCATCTTCATCATCTTCTTTACTTTAACTCAAAGTGTTGCAGCGAGACAGTCATAAGTGTAGTATTTATAGTACGGCAACAAAGTATTTAAAGTATGCGATAAAATTTAATTAAATTAATAATGGTGAGCATTCGGTCGAGTGGAGAGATGCGTGGAAGAAGAAGAAGTGGATGAGAAACAGTCGTGGCGAGGTGGAACCACCGCTGTGCGCGCGCTGGATTTTATTCCACCAGAAAAGTATCATAACTGAGGCGCGCAGGCAAACGAAAAAAATCGTAAAATATATAACTCTTCCCCGGCTCAAATCAAATTGTACTTCAAAGTCACTACGAGGAGAAGAAAACACAGATTTACTGATAATTTATAATTTAGTGTCGTTTAACGTAGTTTATTCAACGTCAAAACGTTTAAAGTGTTGAAAAGTAAAAATTAAAAACAAAAAAATATTTTTCCACATTTTAAGGTAAAATTTAACTATTAATTGTGGTGATAGTTAATTCCCCTGACAGTTGTTTTATTTAGACATAGAAACAATAAAATTTTAGCGTCGCAACAAATTTGTTCACCCGCGGCGCGGCGCTTGTCCATAACTTCTCATAACTTTTTTCTCTCTGCACGAAATTGATCCACAGGGCGCGCTGATAAGCATCGCACCCGGGCGATAATCAAGACGCCCATCGTTCAGACGCATCAAAAAAACTTTCGACCCGCATACGGTTTCGTAATAAAAACTTTAAAAAATCGTCGGGGAATAATGCGAAAAATGAAATAAAAATATCTCTCCCGTTTGACAGCCCTTATAATAAATATAAATTAATTTTTTTCAAAGTTTAAAAATTACCCACATAATTAATCGTACTTGATATAAATTATATGTGTTTAACTGTTTGTAGTTGGAGAATTTAATCGTTGAAAAATAATTGCAAAACGCATTTTGGATATCGTGCCATCGGCGAATCTATCGCCGAAGACGAGAAACAATGGCCACTTCCTGCTTGCTGTTTTTGTGCTTTATGTTGTGTGTGGTGTTTAACCTCATCTGGAGGCATTTTGAGCTGTTCGAAGACATCGGAAAACATCTGAAATCTCGTTGACCCCACCAGCCGCGCGGGTCTCATGTGGCCATCGCGAGTCATCTCCGCGCGCTCCGGCCGCGATTTTCCATTGATTTCGAGCGTGCAAACTGCGCAAGCAATCGAAGATTTCCTCATACCGCGTGCTCTCAGCGTCGTACGTTGTGTGAGATTAGGATCATTTTTATTGTTATTACAATTACGCCGGATTAACCGTTGCAATACGACTTTAATCAAGATTAATAATAAGAAACTATTACATGAGTAGAAATTTTTAATTTAGCTAAAAATTATTGATAATTAAAAATAATTTTTAATAAAAAACTAAATTATCATAAAGATTATAATGAGAACTACCCACAGAATAAAAATTATTTATTTTTTTCTATTATTTTCCAAGTTATAGCGATTTTTTTCAAATTTATCTCAAAAAAGTTAAAATTTTTGTGTTGCACTTATTCTTAATTTACGCTTGACCAAGAAAACATACAAAATTTTCCTTTTGCACACTAAATCTCCTTTAAATTCCCTTTCGAATGATATTTCAACTAATTTGCTACGATTTCAAATGAGTGAGTTACACCACCGCAAAGTACCAACAAATAAAATAAAGTGTGAAAAGCTCCGAACGATTTAACCGCGTCTCTGGTTTATGCGCTCGCGCTTCACCTGTTTCCACCTGGCACTGCACTCGCTCGTGCTCGCAGAGGTTTCAACTTAGTTACACATGTTCGAACTCACATCCTTTACCTTTACCATACCGTCATCTTACCACCTTCAAGTCGCTTTCAGTATCAACGCATCATGCGACTAAACCTCTTTTTCTCTCTTTTCCTCAAACCGCAAGTAAATATCAACCAAGTGAGACACAATATTAAAACTTGTACCTACATAAGTTGAGCTTGTAAGCTCTGCATGTGAATATGTGTGTATGTGTGTGTATGTGGAGTTATGACGGTGTTACATATCGGTTTCGTGATCCGGGACGGCGCGCAGTAGGCACACGTCGTGTGGTCGTGTTCGTATTATCGCTCGTCATGCCGCAGAATCGTAATAAATTTCATCTCTCGACCTGAAGAAAACAACGGCATTAATGCCATCGCACGACGCGCCCGAAAATTATGCATCGGGGGATCGCATCGGTTTTGTGAGGATTTTCGAAATTTCATGTTTCCCAGAAATGCGCATCGGCGCCACCTACTGGGTAACTAATATTGATAGGCAACCAAATGTACAAATAACAAAACAAATCACAAAAAAATTAAAAAATAAAAAAATTAAAAATTTTACTACTGCTGCTCCAGGAGAAAAAAAAAGTAAAAAATATACAATATGTTCAAAGTGAGCTTTTTCACTTAAATTGTAATCGTGTTGAAGAGCATGTTTAATGAGTCGTGAACGTGGCGGGTGCGACGGTTGACGCGTGTGCGCCTCGTGCCACCCAGCGAAAAGCTCTCGGACACTAAAAGCACAAAACACGATGCTCAACTGCACAACGAAAAGATTAATTTTCGGCGGTAGCAGCGGTCGGACCATTAAGCTTTTTCATTCTTTTCATACTTTCGCAAAGCATTCAAACACTGATAATTATTGTAAACATATTGCAAACACCAAACATCTGCGTTTCTCCGTACTTATACATAACTAAACATTATACACTCGACAGGAAAACTTTTTCCATCCTAACCTCAATTTTTGACATTTAATAACAAGCATAGCAAATGCACTGTTGCTGATTTCCAACGCCGATATGTTCAGTCAACTTCGGATTAGTTAAGTATCTCGTCGAGTGTGTTTAATATAATTTAATGTTTCATGGCAGAGGCCGCTGAAGCCCATGGTGTGAATGAGCGTGAAACGTATCATCGCGACGCGTGCACGCGCGTTACAAATACAAGTTATATTAGTTACCCTCTATAGCATGAAGCCGGGCATGAAACGTATGAAAATCGCGGCGCGATCGCCGACAGCCGTGAAGATCATAACATTTACATCTCACGCACGCAGGCGATGAAGAATTACCACGCTTTCGCGCCACTAAAATGTCAATTACGCTACATAACCTTTAAATGAGCTGTCATAGGTACATAGATTATGAAAAACTAGCGCCATCTGTGCGTTATTTATAAAAATACTAGCTTTAACCCGCGGCTTCGCTCGCGAATATCTAAAATAATGAAGTAACAATGAAGTAGAATGGCGGGAAGTTTAAAATGGCTGAAAGTA